TATAGCGTATGCCATGCAGCAACATCAGCGCTACGGCCGAGTCGCAATACAACATTGCAATGAATACAATGCCATAAGCGAGAAGGCCTTTCCCACTTGAGAACTGGTGGTTTGCAACAGAAGGGTTAGAGCACCGCTGCCCTCAAGTGAAAGCCCCTGGCTCGAGTCCTGGTGGCGCCAGTCAATTTTTTCTTCAGACGTTTTCCCGTTTGCATCTTTCCCTCAACCAATGAACAGGTAAGGAGTCGTCCGTATTTTTCGAAAAATTAAAAAATCCGTCCTCAGGCAAAAAGGGGGTGGGTGGTCAAGAGTGCTGGCGGAATTAATTTTTTTGATTTTTCGTACTTTTTTTTTTGCTCCAGGCCGGGACTTTCATACACTTGTTGCACTGAATGTGTAGTGTACCGTAGACCAGGGAGTCGTAAAATACCGGTATTTACGACTCCCTGCTGTAGACGTAGTGTAGGATCGATTGTCGCAAACACCAGTATCTACTATACATGACTTTTCAGACTTTTCATGTAGTTGTAGGACGTGCATGTCCGTCGGTTGACCTACTACTCACTGTACTTAGCTACTAGTACTTGACATACAATGTAGGTGCAGTCAGAAAACATGGGGTCAGGAGTTATTATTTTCCAGCTGGGCATCGGTAAAATCAAAAACTTAACGGAAAAAATGGGGGTGGGTGGGCGGGTCAGAGACAATTTTGCACGAGGACGGATTTTTAATTTTTCGAAAATTACGGAAGACCCATAAAGAAGGTGGTGTGACTTACAATCGAGCGTGACTTCTTCCTACGTAATATGTGAATGTACTGTATTGAAACAACTTGGCTCAGACCTGTTGCGACTTATCATCAAGTGCGACTTCTAATCAGTGAAATGCTGTACACTTAAGCCAATGCCAGCTTTCTTCTTCTCATTCCACTTCCTTCTCAGGTTCTGCTACAAGACACATTCGTGATTATAAGGAGCTTGTCAGTCAGAAGGATGGACAGAGAGGTAAATATACATACAAGTATGGATGGATGATGGGTAGAGAAACAGACAGACAGATAAACAGACATACAGACAGACAGACATACAGACAGACAGACAGACAGGGAATGCTGACCTTTCCACCCTTGAGAATATGATACCAGACGGATGTGCCACCAAAGTCGACACCGAAATCTGTGTAGCAGCCACCGACGCTCATCAGGCAGTACCTGTGACAGCACGGCATCACCACAAGCAACAGCAGGAGACCAGCAACAACAACAGCAGCTCCATCAGTAAGCCAGCAACAGCAACAGCACAAGTAACAGCAGTAGACCAGCAACAGCAACAGCCACACAATCAGTAAGCCAACAACAACAGTAGACCAGCAACAGCAGCGCCAGCACAACCACCAGCAGTAGGGCAGCCAGCAACAGCAACAGCAACAGCAACAGCAGCACAATCAGTAAGCCAACAACAGCAGCAGCACCACCAGCACCAGCAATAGGGCAGCTACACCTGTAGTACTATCAACAGCACCAGCATTCGGCCAGTAACAGCAACACCGGCGGCAGCAGCAGCAGCAGCAGCAGCACCATCAACAAGAACAAACAAAACACATACTTTTTGCACTTTGGGATATTTCATGTCGACCAGTCGGTTGGTGGCCTCCTGCTGCAAAGCGCGCAATATTTCCGGCCACACCAAGTCCACCCAATCCAAATGACGTACCTGCGTGCAACAACAACAACAACAGCAACAGCAGCCGCAGCAAGCAAGCAGTAGGAAGAAGAAAAGACAAATGAGCAATTCGTACACGGTTGCGAATACATACTATACAGCTTGTGATGGGGCATTGATAAACCAATATAAACACATTGCACAAACCAATCAGGAGTTAAAAATCCATACTTTCTCAAAACGAGCCTAAGCATGATCATGTATGACATGAGCCTCAAACGCCCACCAAACCCCCCAACACGGCATACAGGGGAGACAGTAGTGCAGTAGAGTGCTCAACTACAGTGCACTCATTTCTCACGGCTCTTATCCGGACCTCCAAGTTACGGGCATCTTGGTCTACGGGGAACTCTGTGAGTGAGTTTTAGTGGATATATTACTACTTTTCTACCAATTTGTGGAAATACCAGGAGTGACGTAATATGCCAGATCTACGTGCCTTCCACATCAAGATGTACATGATTACGAACATTTCCAAATGAAGGGCAGAGCCCCCGGTCCCGGACCGCCCGGATACAACAGATAAGAGTGTAGTACATGTAACGTTACATGCATAGGATTGATTGATTGCAGCCTATATCAATCATATCTTCTGAAAATTGTAGTCCAAGTTGCTGTCTGATGATCGGTTAAAACCGTGAAACTCAGAGTTACAGCAGAAACGCTTTTTGATCCTCTCAAGTGTATGTAGGATTGCTGACGTACCAGACTGGGTGACTCCACTAGAGGCTCCAACTTAGTCTTGGTGAACTCCAGGCTAATGACGTTGTAGAGTTTGT